TGTAATTTCTTTATTGAGTTTTTTTTATATCATAAGTTGTCTAGATTGTCTTATCAACGTGATATTTTGACAACTATATTGAATACAAGTAAACATGAAGTCAATACTCAATTTTACTAGAACTAAAATAAGTTAAATAAAAACTCATTTATTTTTACTTCTCGAGACTTTTTATCCTTTTAATATTAGCCATAGCCATGTCAAGATTACAATGATTAACTTAATGTAAATGATAATTCAAAATAAGAATACTGATAGAAAAGTTGATTTATTGTTCGCAGACAATATTAGATGGCGCGCGCGAACTAGATCTTTTTCGAACGATATCTCGCTAGATAATCGAAAGAAGGCATTCAGTCACGTTATAATTTAATAGAATTGTTATCTGACGCTTTCAACATTGAGAATAATACCAAAAAACACGTTTTCGTAACAATGTTACATCAATATTCATCAGGTATGAATTTGATAGTATCTGACAATGAAGAAAAGAAACAAAGTTTCTTCTGTTGCCTAAAGAAAGCAGTATTCAATAGTTCACAAAAGAGTTGATATCAATATAAGACAGTAGTGCTCAATGTATACATAATTGAAGACTCGATAGAGATATTTTATCAAGTAATAACTTGATGTTAACAAGTCGATAAATCCTTTTTGTAAACAAAATATTCAATAGAATATGTTATCCATCCACGTCCTCTCTTTTTTTTCTACTGATTCCGTTCGTTATATAGATCGTATAAAACAAAAAGTAATTTTTTCTTCTTATATATATATTGCTGTATCAAATATCGTTTTAATCAACATGAAATACAGAAAAAAATAAGAGTGCTTCTACTCTAAATGTTGTTAATTGTGTTTATAATGATGCCATTTTACTTCTAATCCATGATAGATAGTATTTGACACGTGCAAAAACACTTGGAAGACCAGTACCAACACCGCAATCTGTAGGGCCATAACTAACAACACCATTTAAATACCTAAAGCAAATGGAAAAGAAATAACAAAGTGTCTTTCTTTGTTTAAAAAAACTTACCATCGTCCTTCATATTCATACATCAATGGACCTCCAGAGTCACCTTGACATGTGTAACCAACACCATGTTGACTAGCACAAATTTGTTTTTCTTCATTAAAGCTGGCAGCACCATATGTAGAACATTTAGTACCCATTGTTTGCATATATGTCTGTTTCAGAATGGGGCTTGTATCACCATTGTGAGCTGTTCTTCCCCAACCAGCTAAGAAATTTAATAATAATAACAATATATTTAGTCTAGTTCAGGACAAAAAAAAGATACTTACAAACCCAAACAGTATCGTTAACACTCTTCGCTTCAGCACCTGGAAGACAGATTATATTGACTTTATCAGAAAGCTTGATTGGATTTGTCAGACGTATTACAGCTACATCATTTGCAGTTGTACTGGCAGTGTATTGTTCATGTACCCAAATTTTTGATACAGTTAATTCTTGTTCCATATACATTGGTTTATTAATTTCATGGGCACCAATAATGATTTTATAATCATTTACTTGAACTAGACTTTTAATACAATGTGCAGCTGTTAAAACATGACGTTCATCAATAAGAGAACCACCGCACATATTATTAGCTCCACGTACCAAAACTTGCCATGGCTAAGAAGTAAAATAGAAATATGGTAAAAATTAATAAAATATTTGTTTTTCAAACAATACTTACCCAACTATTTGGGTGTGCAATGAGTCCACCAATGATACGTTGTCTCAATGGTTGATATAATTGTTTACCACATTCTTTGGGAAAACTTGCTGGTGGTGTTGTTAAAGGCATACCTTTACAACAGAGACGTGCTTGACCATTTGCTTGTTCAAAAGCGACAGCACTAATGCATTCTGGTTGTTGTGCATAAGAGACTGAAAACTGTCCATTAGCTCCTGGTTTCACCCATTGTGAACAGATCTTGCCATTATCTCGAATATTGAGTGTTAATGCTTGTGAAGATACACTATCACTGAGTAAAAGAAGAAGAAGAGCAATTGTGTGAAATAGAAGAACCATGATGTTCTTTTCTTTTTGAGAATAGAATGAAAATGAAGCTGTTTTCAATCCCTTTTATTGTTCTCTTTTACTAATTAAAATAATAACCTTGAAAATATTATATATCAATATACCATATAGTAAAACCAAGCTTTATCGTTGTAATTTAAACTTTAATCCTATTGTTTTGATGTTTTGATACTGGGAAAGAAACAATTAAATACTGATTCCAATGATGAAATTCAGCGTCTATAGCCTCGATTCCCACACTTTTTTCTCCCGGAATACTATGGTAATTGAATACTTAGTCGAAAACAAGAAAAAAACGACGACTGTAAATACCTTTTATTAAATACATTCTATTTCTAAATATTTTCGTGGACAAACAGACTTATAAATCAAGGTTCGGACCGGTGAGATAATTCAAAAGCATCATATCTTATTAATCACTGGAATATTTTAATTGAAGTAGATTTATTAGATGTGTAACACCTTTTTTTGACCTCAAAAAGTTCTATTAGTATTTTTTAAGTAAGAGAAAAACAATCATTTTCACATGATCTCTTAATTTGATACTATAATTAAAATAAACCGGGATTTACCTTGAAACAAAACTGCGCAATTCAATTTGATTTAATCTGTTGATTATTGTAACAACATTTACCACGATTCATGGATGCTAATTTTCTCCATTTGGTATAGCTCAGTTTCATTCATACATCTTTTTGAAATATGTCAATTCAAATAAGTTTATGAATTGAACTAATATGAGTCTACATTTCCTTTTCGAACAATGATAAAAGGCATATTATCATATACAAGACTGCACATAAATTTATAATGCAAATAGTCTATTCTAAAAAGTTTCAAACTGTCATCTATGATTTTCATATAAAACCATTCAAGTATGCTTGTGTAAATGATTATGTCAGAATGGAAAATTCTTTCACAAGTAAGAACGCTAGACGAGATCACACATTGACTGTCCCATGAGTAAAAAATAATACTTGTTGTACGTCTTTTTTTTATTATTTATATTTTTCTGATACGTTCTACGTTTCAAATATGATCAATTAGTAACGTCTAGCTTAATATATCCTATACTACAAGTACGTCATATGTGATGCATAGGTTTTTTAGTCAAAAGTATCGTGCACCACATATGATGCACTGAATAGTCAACGTGTTAAGTAAGTTCCATTCAGTTATTTAGATAAACAGTTTTCTAAAAACAATGGGCATTCGATTAATACTATGTTTATAAGAAGGATCTATTCATGTAATACATAGAAAATGAAAATCTACGTATAATGTTGTTAGTATAAAAATAAACCATGATTTTGCCTGTCATCTTACATATAAGATGCACTTTTCTAGGACAGACGAATGCTTATTCATATAGAAAATAGCGTGTTTAAAAAATTATTTCCCTGATCGTTTTTGCTCGAGTCGTTAACAAATGTCCCTCGTATTGAAAGGAAAGTATTTCACCAATTGATTCAATTGTTATTAATAAAAACTAAAATATTTTTTCATCGATCTTTCAATATATGTGCAAAATATAATACAAAATTTTTATTTTATTTATGTTTTTCATGCTCCAATAAGTGACCTTTTTTTTAAAGAATTGCGAGATAATTTTCTTTACTTAGTTATGACTTGTATATAGAGATTATGTGATTCTCATAGTAGAATTTAATTAACAGTTCGGAATCTTCTAAATTAATATGTAAATCTTGTTTTTTTTAAATAGATTATTTTTAACATACTTATTTTCTTTATCTTTCAACTACACGTATATTATACAATAATGGATTTTGCACATATCTTAGCCTTAATCAGAATTATTTTATTCGGAAGTACTGTTCTTATTTCATTTTTTTATTCTTGAGGGTGTGCGTGTGTTAGTGTGGATGTGGTTGATCAGAGTATTGACACCCACCCTTTTAACTTTACTAGTTCATCATATCACAACAGAGATAGAAGATCATATTTACTATTAGCATTGTGCGTTTTTTGACGGTGTGGGTGTGAGTATTGTACTTCATCCACACTTACACCCTCATTATAGTTAATCGAATTTTTACTTTGTCTCTATCTAATCAATAAACAAATCTCATCAAAGTGCTTCACATGCAACTTTTATGACTACCAATCTGTGTACTATTCTCACACATCTAAATAGTATTTTCGCATAATCTCAAGTTTGTTTGTGAATATAACAAAAAGAGAAATTAGCTGTAAAATTAATCTTAACAAAAATAATGGTGTCATTTCTTATGACGATAGAATCATGATAGAATAAAAATATTAACTTACTTCGAAATAATGCAGCAAAGATCAAGAAAATGTTTTTCAAAAGTTTTTGAAAGAAATAAGTATAAAAATGAAAAAAAAATGACGAAGTTAACTCTTGTATTCACAATGTTTATCTCGATTGTTGTTACCTGTCTGCTTTTGCAATAGGTAAATATTGCTTATCAAAAACGATAAACAAATTTATCATAAGTAAGAGACATACACAACACAGTGAAATGAAAACCTTTCGCGGAGAAAATCGTTTTGATAAACAAAAACGCTAGTTGGAAGAAATACTGAATAATATATAAAACATACAAAATCATCTGAAGAGTATGTGTGGGCATAGGTATTGAATATTTCATATCTCACATCACCACCGTTATCAGAACAGCATTATTTGTCGATGTTCCATCGTAAAAAGCTACCCTGAAGTTTAGACTGGAACTAATGAGATCTAATTATGTACTGAGGCTATGGGTGTGGCTGCCTATTCTGTTTCAAACTTTAACCACATCCACATCCCTCCCCCTCAAGATACAATTCTTATCTACTCTTTTCTTTTCGTAAAATAAACGAAAACAGGAGTTTGAAGCAAGATGTGACACATGGTACAACAAATTCTTTCTTTTTTGTTCTCGAATAATATGTTTCAGTTTTAACACAGACAAAGTTTTACTGTCGTCCCTTGACACAGAATGTTCGCACGCCCTTTGCAGTCATCATTGAACCATTATCGTTGTATGATAAATTACATTTGATTGCGTTGAGCTGAGGATACTGATCCAGATTATCAATGATTTTTGTTAGTGCTACTTCAATGACTTTTGGCTCAAGTTTACTTCCTCGCATGTTCATATTCTTGAATTGAGCAGCAATAAATTGGACCGATCCTCCATCTGTTCCAATCATCATGCTATGTGGACCAACGGTAAGTGAATGATATAGAGCATCGCCCACTTGTTTCAAATCTTCGGGTGTCGGTTGAGACATAGTGTTCGCATCATCAGGTAAACGTGAGAATTCGCTTTTGTCAAATTGCAATGTACCACTGGCTGCATTATGATTGACCAGAAATTGGCAGAGATGTTGTAAATTTTCGTCGTCTCGATTAGACATGAAGAAATGTTCTTGTATTTGTTTCCTTGATACAATTTCTATAATAAAATAGATATATGTGAGTCAATATTTTGAGATATAAGAAAAAAGAAGTGTTAGTGTATATAAACACACCGACTTCATTTTGAATGATAAAAAATAGATATGAGACTACATAGATATCTGACCATTGGACGAAGAAAAACAACGAAAATATACTACGATAGGAGAAAAGAATATTTCAATCCTATTTCATAATAATATACAGGCTTCGCTTTTTATACTATTCTGAAATAAAATTATTTCATCCTTACTTAAAAATATAATCGAACTGAAAGAAGTTTAAACCTTACATCAATATTTGTGTAATATTATTTTTTCTTTTTTCTTCCATTTTGCAACCATCTAAGGCAAAAGCAAACGACAATGACTCATTTTCATCGCCTATTCTTCCAAAGGAGAAAAACAGAACTGCTTTGTTATCTTGGTTATGATGTAGTTTATGGAGAGAAAAATATTCTTTCATTCATCATTTTACATTTTACACGCTAAGGTTCGTTAAAATAAAGATTATTTTTTCTTATCAAGATGCAACCACTATGTGCTGTTGACACATGTAAACGTAAATGCCGTGGATTATGTTATTGTTGTGGTAAAAATCTTTGTCCTGATCATTTCAAAGAACATGATGATAGAATAAATTCTCAAGTCACCCCACTTGGTGATCAACTTAATGAAATTGCTGACGAATTCTCGAAAATTGTTGTTGATGATATTATTGTTCATTGTCGTGAAGTACTAGATAAATGGCGTGATGATTCTCTTAAAACGATTGATCTATTTTATCAAGAAAAATGTAAAGAACTTGAAGAACGTTGCGTTCAACGAGTTAATGATCAACAAAAACAAATTGATAATACAAAAGTTAAAATAAATGATCTTATTCGAGAAAAGGAAGCTACTTATGAAGATATTCCTTTATTAACAACAATTGTGAATGATATTAAACGTGATGTTAAACATTTTAAAGAAGAAGGAATTATAGTCGATACTAATCCTTTGATTATTAATAAAAAAGGTCTGATTTATATTGAAGAATGGTCATTAGATGAAGTTGATCTGCCAAATATTTCATTTCCATATGAAGAAATCGATTGTTCAATCTATGCATTAGCCAGCAACAATCGATTTTTATTATTAGTTCAAAATTCGAATTTATGTTTGTTTGATCGAGATCTTAATCATGTTAAAAAATGTTCATGGGAACATGACATTATCTGCGACATCTGTTGGTCTTCGACATTAAATATATTTATTCTAGTGACTGATAAAGATGGTATTTTTCTTGTAGATGAAAATCTAACCTCAATTAAATCAATCGAAACGATTGAAAAGAAGAACTGGTTGTCATGTACATGCTCAAACTCAAGTCTGTTTGTTACAACAAATAGTAAAGGTTCTGATATTTTTCAATTCAATGTTTTATCTTCTTTTAATTTAACCAAACAATGGAAACCTGAAACGAGTTGTGGAACTCAAGAATATATTTACAGTATAGCTAATAATAATGAATCACTTGCAATGATAATAGCAAACACTACTACTATTAAGAAAGTACGAATCGACCTTCGATCATCAACAACACTCGACCAATTATGGTCACTTAACCTTTATGATACGAATGGGCCTGCTAAGTTGATAAGTCGCGTGTGTCTGCTAAGATGTGATGAATGGCTTGTAGCCGATCCCAGTGGTTCTCGTCTTTTTCATATTACTAAAGATGGAAAAATAGAAGAATCACTTGATGATAAATTAAAACCTATGAATGCTGTTTTATTTGGTTCAAATATATTAGCTATTAATACAACAAAATGTGTCAATTTTTATCGAGTTTAATTTTTCATTTTTGATTAATAAATGAAGTTCGTGTGGAAACAAAACAAAATTAATAGAATTGTAAAATAATATTATGACCGACGAGTTTCATTATATAATTATCTAATAAATAGTCAGTATCAATCAGGTTTTGTAATTCTTTTTTAGAATTCTATGATCCGAAAGATTTACTTGAAGATGCTTCATACAACGGCAAAGACAAAGAATAAACATTACTTGTTCGATTTCAGTAATTTTTTCGAGTTTAACTTTTGTTATTTTATTTTTGAGTGATACCCGATGAAGAATATCAGCATTATTTTGAATGATTGGTATCGATAATATATGTAATGAAACAAGATGAGGTAACATTTCGATAATTTGAATAAACATATCAGAAGAAATCGTCGCACAATTGATAGTTAAATGAATAAATTTAATTGAATCAAACATGAATTTGTAATTATCAATCAATGATTGATTTCGTTTCGGATTGGAAGTAAAACTATGGATCATAAGTTGAATGGCTAGATTATTTGATTTTGGATGTGTCATTATAGTTTCTTTTTTTTCATCAAAATCAAAACATGTTTTCCTAAATATAAAAAAACCCGAATCAAAATTAATTGAAAAAATCTATGATAATATACTTTGACGAATGAATGGAGAAATGAATGATTCTACAATCAATAAAAATTTCAAATATCCATCCTTTATTAACCCAAAATGGTGAACTAAATTGATTAATAATTAAATGAAGAGATCGATCTTCATAAATGATAAAATTATGTTGATAGCAATTATAAATCAATGTATTTAAATGTGGAATATAATTCGTTATCAATCGTTCCCATCGATCAGCATCAAGATACGCTTTGTTAAAATTTGGTTTAATATGTAATCGTTGCAATTGAGGAGAAACTTTCTTGATAAATCTTTCAAAATCATTAAAATCTAGATAACAACAATCAATACGTATATGTTTTAAATAAGATAATGTTGGAATCTGTTCATCTTCAACATTCTGATCTGTTTTAAGTAAATTACCACAAATAAGATGGCGTAATTGAGGTGTATGACAAATTATAAATATTAATTCATCAAATGTACATTCATGATTGATAACGAAATATTCAATCGTACTAAATTGTTGATGTAGTATACCAGCAGGTAGTGAAATATTTGTCTCATTGATATCATCATATTCATAATTCAATTCTTCTAATGATATTTTATTGTATTTTAAGGTTGGAAAAGAGAAAATCAATCGGTAAATATCACGAATATCTTTAGGGAATAATAGATGACATATTAGAGTTAATGATAAGAGATTTGGTAATGATTTTAGATGCAAAAGAGGATCTACAGCTAATTCGATAAGAATATCACGTAAAATAACTGATTGAAGATTATAAAATGATGCATTAACAATACAATATTTGAAAAAATTATTGACGAAGATATCATCTTTTATATCAAGCGAAAGAATATGATGTTGATTTGGAATAATAACAGTTTCACAACATTCTTCAAGATTTGATATTGTTTCTGAGCAAAGTTTAATTTTAAATAAAATTGAAGACGAGAATTTAAATTATGAAATGATTTATAAGTATCATAACCATCTACATAATCAAATATCTCCAAGAGAATTTCATTGGAAAGATCTTCAAAATGTGTCATTGAAAGTTGTCTTGATATAACAAGAAAGAAAAAATATATGAATTACTTACAGTTTTATATAATTTAAATTCATATTCTAACTTAAAATATTAAATCATCTAAAAAATTTATTTTAAATAGAAAAATGATGATAGAAAACATAGAGTATTTATACTGAATCTTTTCATCCATTACTCATAGCAACTAAATTCGTAGATAAGAGTATGAGTTATAAATGATATTCTAAAGAGGAAGAGAGTGAATATTAGTCATTTAAGGATGTGAGTGTTTTATGGATATGAAGAAATTATGTAGTCAATAGAATAACGATTATTTCCCTTCCCATCCAGTTTTTCTTAACCATTGTTCAAATGTATTTAATTTTGTTAATTTTTGTCCATTTGTCCAATCTTTATCTTTTCCATAATAACCATATTCTTCGATCCATTTATGCATACCAAAAATATTATCTTGCGCTGTTTTCGGTAACTGTTTTGTTATTGTTCGAAATTCTTCTTCGGTTAATGTTTTTGAGATAGCTGGAATTCCAGTTACTTTAGTAAAGATTTTGGATAGATTTTCTAAACTTATTTCATCACCACATACACAAATATCTTGACCAACAAATTTATCCGGATCTGCTAATATTTCACGAACAATCGGACCAATATCATCGATATCTACTAAATGTAATTGCACCTTCTCATCGATGGGAGCTGCGAATATTACTGTTCCATCATCTATTTTAGGTAATTTTCCAGCATTTCTCCAATTTTGCATATACATAGCAAGTTCGACATAAATAGTTTTTAAACTTCGACATTTTTCTTTGATATAATTAGTTATTTCGGCTTTGTGTGTAAAAATTGGTATATCGCTATGGAAAATAGATTGGTACAGATACTATAATGATATCGACTTACAATATCAGCCATGATATAACCTTGTTGTTTTTCGAGTTCGAGTTGATTTGGATTTGTCCAAGGATCTGTCACAGCAAATATAGCCCATGAATCTTTAAATGCACGTTCAACATCATCACTCTTTGTTATATCACATGTAACCATGTCAATATTATCACTCAAACGTTTCAATATTTGAGCTTTTTCACTCGATGAATCACGTGTTAAACCACGAATCTTGTAGCAAGAACACAAAAAGACAATATAGTATTCACAGAAAGTAATTATGACAAGATATTTCTTACTTTATATTTGCCTGTTTCAACTAATGCTCGTACAACAGCACTTCCTTGAGCACCAGTAGCTCCAACCACTGTTATCAATCGTGCATCGACCATTTTTCGAAATGACAATCAAATACATACTTTTTTTTTATTTTTCTTCTTACGCTTACCTTTTCTCTCTATCGAATACACGTGGAATGTGAACGAAGAGTACGACAGGAATAAAATAATATAGTCTTGACGAACAACGTCTGTAAATATGACGATTATACTGTAGATACAGTATTGACGCAGAGAGTAATTTATTTGTTTAAGTACATGAACTTTAGAAAAAAAGAAGGATAATCAGTGAAATCTTGAGGATGGGTATGAGTACCACCCACACCCACACCCACCCTCAAGATGGTACAGAAGTCGAGATTTTTATTTGTAAGTTTAATAATAAAGAAAGTTAAATATAGAATATGTTATTATGTAAAGAAAAGAGCTTTAATTCCAACAACAAACATCTGTTAGTTTTAATCGTTCATTTTCATTGGCAAGTTTCATTAGTTTTTCTCGTTTTTCTTCGCCAAAATTATTCCAACGAAGATAAATTGTTACAATTGTCTAAATATATGAAGAAAATAAGAATAAAAATCAAAAATAATCTTTACTGAATAATCTGAAAGAACAACAGCAAGATAACCAGCTCCTATTTCTGTAATTTCATTATATTGAAGATTAAGTATTGTCAATGTCTATATGAAAGAAATATAAATTTTCATTATAATATTCATTAATTAATATACTCTATTCGTTTGAAGAGCATTAGCAAGATATTCTGCACCTTGATCACGTATTTGATTCATTCCCAAATCGAGTATAGTTAATGTCTTTACAAAACAAAAATTAAACTATAATGAAATGGAAAAAAGTCTTACTGTATTTTTTGTAAGACTATCAGCAAGATGTTCTATTCCATTATCAGTAATTTTATTATTATTAAAATCGATAGTTGTAAGTGTCTAGATGAAAAGTAAAGGTAGATGAAGTAACAAAAAAAAAGGATTGTTTTACTTTGTTAGTTATTAGAACAACAGAAAGTTTATGTGCTGATTGATCTCCAATGCTATTTGTGTGAAGATTCAATGAGTCAAGTGTCTAAGTACAAAGAAAAGATCAAAATATAAAGTAAATGGAAATATAAAAAGATAAAACTTTATTATTAATTAGACCACTAGCAAGGTATTGTCCTCCTTGATCATTAATTTCATTATTACTAAGATCGAGTGAAGTAAGTGTCTATGGAAACAAGAAATCATTAAAGTCATAAAAGTAAATCATATACTTTGTTGCTTGAAAGTGCACGACCAAAATGCTCTGCACCTATATCAGTTATTCCATTTCTTGCAAGATCGAATATTCTTAATGACTGTAGAAAAATTTAATTTATAACTAAAAAGATAATTCGTATATATTTTACTGAATTCTTTTCTAATGCATTAGCGAGATATTGTGCTCCTTGATATTCCATTCCATTTTCACTTAAATTCAGTATTTCGAGTGTCTATATGTAGAAATTGTAAAAGAAATTATATTTTCCCCTGTTTAAATAACATACAGTATTGATTATAAGTGCATCAGCAAGATATTTAGCACCTTCATCTTCAATTTGATTCTTGTTCAGATCGAGATTAATGAGTGTCTACGATAAAATATTAGATTTTGTTAGTATTGATATATCTTGTTTCTTGGTTACTTTATTATCTTTCAAACCATTAGCTAAATATAATATTCCTTGAGAATCAATGTTATTACTTCCCAGATTGAGTAAAGTGAGTGTCTATAGAAAACAAAACAGGAAATCACGGTGATAATAATAATAAGAACAATTCTTACTTTATTATATAAAAGCATATTACCAAGTTGTTTAGCACCTATTTCTCCAAATTGAATTCCTGTAAGATCAAGCATAGTGAGTGCCTATTTAGAACGTTTGAATTAATCAAGCAAATCATTAAATAAACAATTACGTGATTGATTTTAAGAGCATCAGCAAGTTGTTCTATACCATCATCTTGAATATTATTATAACTAAGATCTAGTGTTGTCAATGTCTATATGAAGTGAAGTAAGAATCTATATGAAAATAACAAAATACAAACGAATAATAAATTACATCATACATTATTTTTTATGAGCGCATCACTAAGACATTGTACTCCTTGATCTTGAATTTGATTATGACTTAAATCTAAAGTAGCAAGTGTCTACACAAGACAAATTGAAAATACATAGATAGAGAAAGTATGTAATACCGTATTTTTTGAAAGAGCATCGGCAATATATTTTACTGCAAGATCATCAATTTCATTTTGACCAAGTTTAAGTGTAGTTAATACCTTTGTAAAGGAAAAAAATAGTATCGAACACTTCTTATTGAAAAAATACTTTGTTATTATCAAGCAAAATAGCAAGATCTTGTGCTTCTTGATCTTTAATAGAATTACAATTAATATCGAGTGTGGTAAGTGTCTAGAAGGAAATTAACCGTGTAGATAACAACTGAATAAGTTATAATTTACTTTATTGTTTTTAAGAGCATTGATTAATTTAACAATTAAACCATCTTGATTTGTGTTACTACCGATATTGATTGTAGTTAACGTCTATTTGTTTTTGAAAAATTTTATCAAAATGATTAATCACTGTACCTATACTTACGGTAGTATTTGGCAATGTTTTGACGAGACATTGTATGTGATGATCTTGTAACTGATAATTGCTTAGATCAAGTGTAGTGAATAACTATTTAAAAAATTTTAACAGATATAAAAAGTGACGAATACGATGAAAATTTACTTGATATCGATTAGATGTATCGGTAATTAGATTGAATCGATGACAAACATCACGAACAGAACATAAAATAGTAAATTCATCCAAATTATCCAAGATTCGATACACAATTTCGACTGGTAATGTTAAAAGAGGTGAATGAACTTTTTCTGTCATATTAATTTTTATTTTATTATGTTGATTTAGAATGAAACATTTTCTTTTTCTTTCACGTGAGTATTTTTTTCTCACTTCAAAACAATAATATTTTTCAGAAGGAAAGAAAAATTTATGAAAAGAACGTAAAGCAGTTTTGGTATGAATATTTCTTTTCTATTCGATGAGTGACCTTTTTTCTCACAATCACGATCAGAGGTATCTTGAGGGTGTGAGTGTGGGAAAGATGATTGCATTATAAATACCCAGACACACGTCCACACTCAAGATATGTTAGGTTGATTAGTATTGTGTTTTGTGCTGCACTTTAGAACATGTACTGCTAATAAACTAGACTGCAATAGTATTCTGTCTTCTATCTTATTTGCGACTTTGTATGAAATGTACTTAAGTCAAAATAGAACCAGTATATGGTACGGATAATACAATAAAAAGAATATAAAATATAGGCTTCAGTGAAGAGTTGAAGTTATATAACTAATGAAAAAGACAAATCATAATACAGAGAAATATTCAAAACGCCAGTTCTAAGATAGACAATCAAGAATAGAGTTAAACATGAAGACATAATGTTGATCGCAATCCATAGAAGTTTTGCATGTTCTGCACCAGGTGTTTAACGTCTGCTTCAACCGATAATCCATATGATTGAGCAATGAACTTGTAGACACTTGTAACAAATATGGGATGTGTTTCCCAAACGTGAGGAAACTATTGAAAAAATTTACGAGATTACTCGAATTTATAGAAAAGTAATTTTAATTAACAATACTTTTAAAGTTTAAAACAGGATGGTACTGTTAATATTGACGTACTGAATAATTGTTTGTATCTTTTTATTAATAAATACCAATGGTGAGCATGAGAAGTATATGCACAAAAATTTAGATTTCAGCATGTTCTATTCTTCCAGATCGTAATTGAAGTTGCGCCAGCATACTGGATAATCTTGTGGAATTTCCTAAATAAAAATACATGAAATTAAGATCTGATTTGCGAAGTAAATAAGAATTTTCATTGCAAATGATTGGTTATAAATGTTTACATATATTTGACCTTATAGATTGACTGACATGAACAAAGTTCATGCTAAATTTATACAGCCTCTTCATCTATAGACTATTTACGTATACAGAAGGACTAGACAACAGACAGCCGTCAGCAGCGACATTCAGACAAAAACAATAGAATCATAACTATAAATAGAAAGTAAGAGATAGACAACAGCGATACATTTCATTATATTGTCAAATATGTTTGACTTTTTATATGAACTTTACTGGCGATATTACTGCTCATTATCATTATTATCAGGTCTAGAATTATTACCTGACGAACTGCTAGTGAAAATTTTGTCCTATGTATCTCTCTCAGACCTCTTTTACAGTTGGTTAAATCTCAATTGGCGCTTCAATGCTATTGTACACAGTATACGTATTAAAGAATTTTATACTGTGCCGAAACAATGGCATTCATGTAAAAATCCTAATAGTATCGTCGAATCTCTTCGTTATTTTGCCTCTCAAGTTGTTTTTCTTCACGTTGACGAAAGCATTCCATTAGATGTGATAAAAGAGATTAATACTATCGAGTTTTCTCATCTTCGCATACTGAAACTTTGTGAAACAAATGCAAGTCAACTCGATGTCATTCAAGCACGTAATTTCCCTTATCTTGAACATCTTTCTCTTGTTCAAACAACTATCAGTTTCGAAATTCTGTGCCAATTCAAATCACTTCGGTCATGTGAACTTAACTCACTGGAGATCGATGCTAAACATTCACATCTATCGGCATCAATTCAATCATTAGCGCTTTGCTGGTGCCATCCATGGGACATGGCTATTTTTCTTCGTCATTTTCCGCAGATGATTTTTTTCAAAGGGTTTATTTTTCTGAGCAAGAGTTCTGTCCATCATCCAATTGTGAATTGTGTTTATCCTAATCTGATATCGCTTGATATCCATTTCTTCGATTTGGATTCTTCTATGAATGAAGTAGATAATAGTAAATATGGTTATATCTCAGAACTACTAGCCTCTATCTCAACTAGCGAACGTATCCGATATTGTGTGACTCTGGTTGATATGGTAAACTTCAATTATGAATAATTTCAACGTGCTATACTCAAACTTAATTTCGTTCGTTTCTCCTTTCGACTGATATGGCTTCATAGGTCTTGCCCAGTACCAAACATCGACTGTATTCGACAAATACCATTGTTTAATAAACTCAAACTAGAACACATTGGTTCTAAGGGCACGGTATTTCGTTCAATATGGACTGACACATCGATTTTGAGTTATTATAATCAAAACATATTAATATAGTTATTTGTTAAAGATTTTTCTGTTCATTAATATTGTATGTTATATAGTTATTATGAAAAAACGATAAATATCATCAAGAATAAAGACAAAAATCGTTTTTGATTCTTTAGTTTTGATGGTAAAGAGTTTATTTATATTTATTGTATAACATACGCATTGTGCATATCTTTTTCTTATAAAGTAAATATACAAGAACATCTCAACTCTACACATCACTACCAACAATAAAACACGATTGGTATCCTACTAAGTAATGTGTTCTTTGCATGTTATGTTGCATATGAATCATGCGACTTTATTTTCCGTGAGTGATATTGATAGAAACAGTAAGAAAAAAAGTTGTGTGGCTGTGGGTGTGAGTATAAACCTGAATATGATTTGTGGTACCCGCTCGTCCACATACTATACCAACACCCACCCACCATCTTGAGGATGGGTGTGAGTGTCGATGAGCGTGAGGGTGATGGTGTTTCTTCTTCTCTCACACCCACACTCATTTCACATCCATCTATCCATTTAGTTTTATGAATCAGAATAAGAATTATCGAATTAATACATCCTGTTGATTGTTTTAAATGAAAGTTGTTTTAACAGTATTTATATATTCTCTAAAGTCTATTTTTGAGCGCTATTATAAGTTTTCGAATAATATATTACCTTATTTCTCTATTTAGTAAAATCTAGAGAATCGTTCTGGAATGAAATAGCTTTATTTATGAATTCAAATAATGAAACATATCCTGATGACGATCGGTCTTAGTGAATCAATGATGCAGTCAGTTCAGTAAGATGCAGAGAAACCCGACAAAGTCGCAATGAATATATGGAGGAAACTATGTCCATCTTGTTCTGATCGTGTTTTTGTTGGATCAATTAAGAACGTACCACGATCAACTCTAAATAACTTTTATGGTAAATGTCTTATTTATGAATATATGTATGAGTAAAAATAAAAGTTTTTCTCCTTAATATTTATAGTATCTAATGAGCTGATCATAATAATTTCTTATGAATCTACTATCAAATAGTATAGTTATGAAAACTAATATATGCGTTTATTTTTTATTTTAGGATTTGTACATAAATCTCTACCAAACCGTAGCTTCAATTAAGAAATTCCTAAATTTCTGTGCAATGTATTTCATAATGAATTTTACAACGGAAGATTATATAATGCTACTTTTTATTTGGAAAAGACATTCTCTTAATAAAGCAACAGCAAAAGATATTTGTCGGATATTAAACAGATTTGGTATACCAAACATGCCTAAAGGTTTTCGTGAAGTGATGCCTTATTTAAAAACAAAAATCCTACTTTACTTGACGGCGATTATAGATTTATTTGTCCATCATGTGGTAATAAATGCTTGAATGCTTTTAAATGTAATTCAAGTAGTTGTGAATCCGCTACTTCTCACTAACACATAAATGATAAAGAAAAACAAATACATCCTGAGAGAAATTTAATTACTCTCACATTACACAATGACGGTGCACCAGTTAAAAGAATACGTCGTTCTCTTCGGATTACATGTGCTTGTATTAATGAATTACCTCGTACGAAACGTTTTGAAATTAACAATATGTTGATTTGTTCTATATCAATCGAAGATGAAAAATCGAAGAAAGAAGAATATGCAATTATTTAGAAGGATATAGTGAATGAATTAAAACTGCTTGAAATGATCGGTTTTGACATTTTACTACCAACTACTGGCAAAAGTTATAAAAAAATCTATGCATATTTTCATGCATTCCCTATAGCAGCAATTGTGACAAGCCAGTACAATGTCTCATGATGAATATAAAAGATTTTACCAGCTTTCTTAGTTGTTGATGGGACTGCATCTCGAGTGAGATTCATTTTGTTTTTCAGTTTGTATATTTTCTATCTTTTTTAGCCTCGTATGTATAGGTATCAATGCAACTAATTCATTTGGTATATACGATGCTTTACTTTAAATAAAACAATTTCACTTATGATCGTTTCATGCATATTTTAGATAAAGTAAGGAATCTGTATCTACTCTTTTATTTATCTTTTTCACACGATTTATTTAGGACTATACGGCGAAAGATCCATCGAAAGATAAAACATGTGGACATGCAGGTCTTTGTGTTCTACGTGAACTAACCTACTTTGACATTGGAGAGAGTTTCTGGTTTGATTCACTTCATGGTTTATATTCCGGAGTATTCGTAAGTTGTTTATTCTATTTAATTTAGTTTATAATGAATAAAGAAGTTCCATAAGATAATTGAGATAAGCTATATTGAATAGAAAGTTATTTAATTTTAACTAGAAAGATTAAAAATGCAATATGTGTGTATGGGTGCTTATCATCTCATAATTCGCCGACACACCCTTTTTTACGTTAGATTAATTTTATTATTCATATGTATTTTTAATGTCTAGACTATCTGATACCTATTACAAAAATATAAGAAAAATTCGCTATGTGAAAATTTGAGGAAGAAAGGAATGACTGAATGAAATAATAAAAAGAAGGAGAACAAGATAAAACGAATACGTGCATATATACTGATGGTTAAAGACTAAATGGTGTACATTATTCGTGAGTATTGGTTAAACCCACACTCTTTAATCAGTTTAGCTTTTTTTTCAGATAAAACTAAACTTTTCACGATTTACAATTATGTGAATCTTTTAGAAAGAAGAGTTTGCGAAAGCAGCAAGAATAGTAGAAGCAGAATTGGCTCAAAGTCAAATGGCTGTTCGTGCAGCAACGACGGATGGTGAACGTCAGCAACGTGGTGGTGTGGTTAATATGAAAATGGGCGACGTGCTCGATACGCACAAAGAGTGGCGAGGTGAACGCGAAAAAGATGGCTAATAAACGAAGTAAGCATAAGATTTGTTATTTTTTATACATCCTGATGGTGGGTGCGGGTGTGATTGTGAGTTTCGGTCTATCAATCGCATCCACCCTCAAAAAGCTATTTTTTCTTGTAAAATATAAACTTGTTTTTTGTTGTAGCACCAAAACGTGAAACAACACCAATTTTTGTTTAGTTCTTTTTTTTATTCATATTACTTTTTTTTGGTTTGTCTTAATTTTTTTTGCCGGTGGTCTTCTCCTATAATAAAACAAAATAACAAATTGTCCTTGAATTTTTCTTTTAATTATTTTTTTTTCTTCGTTATTCTTTAAATAAAATCAACTTACTTCGTATATAATATCTGCTTCTAAAATAGACACAATAAGTATTTGGAACCTAGAAAAAGTAGTGACCATATGTGATGGAATGAATACGAAGTGTGATAAGAGAAAAAATATTTACATGTGGACGTGCTGTTCCTGATTTAACAGAAATTATTTAAAAAATTCGTTATTATCATTAAAATATGCATATATTCTAGATAGTAAGATTAGAGTTTAGAAATGCAAAAATTCACATATATCTATTTATCTGTAATATAGTTATTATATGATATCTATAGTCTAAACGGTTGTGTTATTATTTCGATAAATAAAGTCAAATGCAAATGTTTGACAAAGTATTTAATTAGTAGAATTATCATTAATCAAGTAGTATCCCTTCAAAATAAAATTTTAGGATTAACTATTTTATATTGTACAACTGAATATGGGAATAAATCTAACATCAATTTAAATATATAATTATATTTCATGAATAATGTAATTTTTCTTCATATAGAATTCAGTCATATATTTTGTCAGTTTAGGTTTAAATGAATCACTACACCATTATCAAAGTTTGATCAGTATTATAATAAAACATTTATCGAAATTATTTATTACTACATGTTGAATATTGAGACAACTACTCTTGACAGTTAAATATAGAATTTTCGATTAATTCAATACATAGATATGTAGACAGTTGAGAAAATTGAATAAGAACCAAGCACATTTTTTACTAATTCATTAATTTTTGTAAATATTGGATTACATTATTTCATTTAATAATTAAAGTGTAAAACTCTTATTTAATACAGTACATATCTAATATATCTTACTATAGTCTCTTTAAATTTAAATAATGACAATAACTGCAACTAAAGCTTTATTTTAGTACAAGAAAAACAATGTATATTAGTTTAAATAATAATTTCAAAAGAAAATATAAAAAAAATTATTTGCACTAATTAAAGCTTTTTTTCATATCGAAATAATTTCAAGTGTACTATGACATAACTGTGAAAAGCAATTCATATAATAATGGTAATATAAACATAAAAATTTATATTTGAGTACTCTTTTCTTCACATCAGGTCGTACAAATATTTTTTGTTTATATTATCTCTATTGTTAATAATGTTATATATAGATATTTTTTTTAATTTGATAAAGTAATTTGTATAGAAGATTTATTGAATTGTACTATCATTAATAGATTTACAAGAAACAAAGCGTATTCATTGTTTTATAAAGGTTTTATAAATAAACTAAAATGATCGATATTGATAATAACTATAAACGTAGTTTTATACTGAACTAAGTCTTTAATTCATTTTTTAAAAAATAATTTCAAGAATTGTCAGAAAAAAGTTCGAAATGAGGGTGTGGGTGTATCCGATTTATATCACCCATGCCCATCCTTCACGAAAGTATCTAAGATTAAAAAGTGGTTTTTTTTCTCTAATTTTTTGAAAACTCATAGACAGTTCGATACAACAACATGCATTACAGCGTTCTGATTTTTTCCATGGAGGACGTCCTATCTAAATAATTTCTTCACTGGAGTCTTGACTCTCAATCGAAGTCTTAAATGGATACTTTTATTGCAGAAGAAAACGAAAATTTATTATTATATTATTAAAAAAGAAAGAAAATCATATATGTTTGTCTTTGTCAATCATCAACTTGATTGGTTAGCAAGACTGATCGTTCATCTTTTATTTTGATATATGACAATGGCAAAGATAATGCCACGGAAGAAGACCATGGTACTTAGGTAGATGATTCTTTTCATCTATTTTGTTCTACATAAACGAATAGATTCTCTCTGATTGTTTTTTTAATGGATAACACGACAGTTGTACTTGTCTTAGAATTCCAGTCACATGTTGCACATATCTGTTCACTTATCGTGTAAAAAACGAAATCACCATTTCAAATCTATTACAGGTACGACTATCACATCATCAAAAGAATAGAAACTATTTGGAGCAAAGAATTGTTCATTAATTTGCTCAGTTTCAAACAAGTTCTTCATTCTGACATTTACACTGACGATAACATGAAAAACGACTATTCTTTACGATGAATTCATACGGAAATGTTTCTCAGTTTCAAGTATCAATGAGCATTGAATATAGTCGAAGATGGTTTCGAAGACAATGAATCATTCTATTCCATTCTTTTGTTTTTGTGTCCAATATCCAATCCGCACACTTCTGGCAAGTAGTACAAGCATGACCCGCAACATTTTATTCAGATAGCTTGTTTTATTCGATAGTATATAATCTTTCACAGTCAGACCATAAAAATCTGTTCATATCTGAATGATCAAAACATCGAAGTTTGTTTGGTGTAGGTACCGATACATTATTCGATTGTTTCGATTCTAAATAAAAATGTCTCCAATGTATTTCTTAACAGATAATCAAGCAAAAGATATCGCTTCGTTAACTAAGAACATACCTGATATCTGTATGATGCGACCAATTTGTTGCATCATAGTATGAACATGCGTTAGCAGTTGATCGAGACCTTCAATGCGACATTCTGTTCTATTTGGTGATTTTAATTCATCTAATTGTTGACTAATGTTATCGAAATTAGTTGTTAATTGATCCTTATTTTGCAATAATTTAATATGATTATTGGTTGAAGTCATAGAGTCTAATGAACTTTTTTGTTCATCTAAACGTTTCCCTGTATTGATTAGTGCCATATGATATTCTTCCACCGATTGTTTATTCTTTTCTTCAATGTCGTAAATTCGTTGTTTTAATGCTTTTTCTTCTACATCTATTACTTTACGTAATATTGTGAAAAAATTTGTAATGATTTCTGTATTGTTTGCTTCACTAGTATTAGTCATTTTCGGTGTATTTTTCAAACTATCATCCAAAGATGACTGAACTCTGTCTAGTTTACTCTTCAACTAAAATTAACCAAGCAAGTAATATGAAATTTACGAGAGAATTTAATTGTTTAGTGACCTTTGTTGACACGTCTTTTGCTATGGTTTCGATCAGAGTATAAGTATGATTTTTATGTTCAAACATAATACAATCAAGACAAGCAAATGTCTGACAGTTAGTACACCAATATTTGACGGTCTGATCGGTGTGTATTTGGCACTGACTACTTTCGTGCGCTTCCTTCAGTATAGCCGTGGTTTGATGGTGACAAAAAACACGTCGTTTATGAATTTCGATACAACAGGTTGAACAGTAGTGATTATGACAATTATCACACCAATAGTTTGCTTCAGCTGATAGACAATCACTACATTTAGATTCAGCTAGAACGTAAAACAAATAAAAGAAGTCACAGATAATGTTCACTGAAGAAAGTTTTTCCTTGATAAATTATGTTGTTATTATATCATTCAAAAAAAAGAATAATACTTACACTTAAGATTGACAACTTCAAGCATAAAAGCCATGTTGATTTATCTGAAAATGAAGAGTATTCATGACAATTAATTTAATTCAATTTGATCATGCTCTTAATTTTTCAGAGATCTATATTAAAAATAGAGACGTAGCGAGTCTCTACCGAATTAGATCAATACATTTGTGCCGGAGTTCCTCCCGTCACAATAAAATTATTCTATTTATCTATATTTGATATATATAACAATGCATGCAGACCAGGACTAGAAATAATAAATTTCTATGATCTTTTTCAAGAATTGGGGTATGGGTATGAATACGAATGTTAGTAACTATATTATGTTATACCCACACCTTCGAAATTAATCTTGATGGAAATAATGGTATGATTTCTGATGGAGATAGAATAAAAATATTAACTTACTTCGAAATAATGCAGAAAAAAATCAAAAAGACATTTTTCAAAAGTTTTTGATAGAAATAAGTATAAAGAAGAAAAAAAATGACGAAGTTAACTCTTTTATATTTACAACGTTTGTCTCGATTGTTGTTACCTGTTTGCTTTTGCAATAGGTAAATGTTTCTTATCAAAA